GCCTGCGCACCCGGCGCCTTCATGGCGGGGTCAGCTGCTAACGGGGTATAGATTAGCCGTGACTTCCAGCAACAGAATTCAGTATGCGCCGTAGAGCTACGTTCAAAAAAATCAACCTTTTCGCGTGAGAGAAAGGGTTCGGCTCCTCAGGCCCGCCAGGTGGTTGTGAGGCTGCAAGCCAGCAGCTCAGCTTCTCTTCGGGAGGCGCGCTTAAGGCTTGAGGGCGCCCAAAGCGCTGCTGGGTCGTAGCCGGCCTTTGAGGCAGTCAGGCTGAAGCGATTTCTAGCGTCGTAGAGCTACGTTCAAAAAAATCAACCTTTTCGCGTGAGAGAAAGGGTTCGGCTCCTCAGGCCCGCCAGGTGGTTGTGAGGCTGCAAGCCAGCAGCTCAGCTTCTCTTCGGGAGGCGCGCTTAAGGCTTGAGGGCGCCCAAAGCGCTGCTGGGTCGTAGCCGGCCTTTGAGGCAGTCAGGCTGAAGCGATTTCTAGCGTGCCCGGTTTCTCTTCCTCTGACCTGTGCATCAAGGAGTTGTGAGAAAAAGCAGCCCCATCAATAGAGGAAGTTCACCTGGCGAGGCTGGGTGAATTTCTGCCTCCGCTGCAGTCAAGAACACGTTCCCACAGATTTAAACGGGGCTGGCATCTTGTGCATGGGAGTGAAACACCCCTGAGTTTACAGAACACGTACGCTGTCGGAGACCTATCGCAAAGCTCTCCCGGTGCTCAGAAAGCGGATGTGACCCTTATTGCTACTTTTATTAACGAGTTGTGTTTGTGGGGGTGTGACCTGTGATAATTTTAAACAGACTTTGAAACAATTTTAGACCATTTTAAACAGACAAACACTGCCCACAGGTATAAAATATATCACAAGAATAGGGTTTTGTAAGAATCACCAGAGCAATGCTTAAATGAGCTGGGAAATGAACAATGACATCTGCCTTCAACCTTTTTTTTGTTTCTTTCTGGTATTCCCAAGATCTGATCACAATTATTTTGCAGCAGTCATAATGTCTCTCTGCGTACCTGCACACCTCTGTGACTGGCGATGTTCTGGTACTTAAGTAAGTCCAGGAAAAAAATCGCATTATGCATCTCCTGTTAATCCCAGAAACTTCAGAAATTTGATTCATTTGCCACAACGTTGATGGGAGCATTAATTACGGCTTTTTTACTACTAAAAGCAAAAGGACGTTTTACATCTTCCTCTGCTACAGCTAATGGCTTAGGCTGGATCTGCCTATTGCAGTTTCAAAGTCTGTTATTGCTTATTATAGCTCACTTGCAATGATTGACCCATATATTTGCCCAAGCTTTTCTTTAACTTGATAACCAAGAGCTCGAATTTCTCTAGTAGTAATAGAAAATCTTACATTTCTATTTAACCCTTATTCAAAAGTATTCACACTTTTTTTTTTGATTTTGAATCTTTCAACATCGCTTGTTGATCCTGAAAACTTCCATAGGAGTTGATTGCTTGATTGCGTAGAAATCATTAGTTACAATATTTATGGCTCTACAGTTTACTGATGTCCCACTGTCACATTAGCAAATGTCTTTGCTAATGTCCCACTGACAGGAATGGCACAAGGATCTGAGTTACGCGCAGCAGCTAACAGATTCTAGCTTCTGTCACTGAGGGTGGCTGTTGCTGAAAATTTAAAAAAAGAAGAGGGCATTGTAATCCACACAGCACAGGAATTGTTTTCACATTCTCAGTTCTGTTTCTCATAAAAGGAGTGCACAGCACTTTACCCATTTCTCTCTATTGCTGGAAAATTATACATTTAGAACCCTGTAGAAATGAACTGTTGAGCATATCTATCAGCTGTTCATTAAAATAACATTCATAATGCGGGAGGCTATATTCCAACAAATGTAAGAGGTGCTGTAACTTTCAGTTTATAACAAAAAGCGTAGGTCTTTTTTAAGACCAATTACTTAAAGCTTATTTGAAAATAAGCTCTAAGTTGAGACAAATGACACAGTTTCTACATTTAAACTTTTTTCAATGCAGGATGCAGCACTGCAACTGGTATTCATGAATTCCACCGATGATTCCTCGGGAGCTGGACTGTGCACCAGTAAAGGTATCATGGTATCACATACCAATAAGGTAAAAAGCACACAGTCAGTCCCTTCTGCAACGTCATTTTTGATTGGAACCCTACTGTACCCAGCCCGCCTCACCAGTTAGATCTGTCACCCTGTGTTTTGAGTAGTGCCCGTTGTCTCAGGCCTTGACTTTCATGATTATCAGGTACTTAGGACCACGTTCCCATGAAATAATTCTGCAGAAATTACATTTGCTCGTTTCTGTAACCTGGTTCTTGTATCCTCCTTCTCAGCTATTTGCCCTTAGCTTAACGACGGCACTCACTGATATTTCTTGGAGAAGATACACAATCACACTTGGTACTAGTGAATCTGTGTCATGCTGTGATAGCTGTATGATCACACAGTGACACTGCCTACTCATATATTCAAACAACAGAGTACCTAAAGTGAATACACAGTCTTTGGGTCAGAGAGAGAGAGAGAACGCGAGAGCAAGCATGTGGCTTTAGGGAAGAAGCATAAAGGGATATCCTGAAACGCATTCCTTGGTCCAAGGACTATTTCTGCATTTCACAGTATGCAGCTCCTGTGGAAAGCACAGAAAGTCTCTGGAGCGTAATTACATAATTACAGCATACAGTAATCAGTAATCTACAAAGTCAATCATTCTTGCATTCTCTCCTTCCCAATGATAGGACTTGATTGAGAGGCAGAGAGGAAACCAGTAAGCCACTCTTGCTGATACCCTGGTGGTTAAAACAGTCTTGGAAAATGGGAGTTTGGGCTTTATTCACAGGGATTCTGCTTCCTGGACAAATGCTCTAACCACTAGGCTATTATCCAAAAGACTGGTGCAAGCTCTTCAAGCAATTGTTGAACAGGACCTCTAACTCCAAAAGAGATTTGCCAGCTGAAGGTCCCAAGCAGGTATGGGCACCTCGCCTCCTACTGGGATGCAGCTCACAGGTTTTACCCTGGCACATTTACGAAAATTTTTGATTAGATTGCTGGAATTCATGAATGCCGTTGTTAGGCGCTTGGCACTGTGTTTTGGGCGTGGACATATAGCTTGGGGTTCAAGATTTTATCAGGCAGCCTATCGTTCCAAATGAAATGTATGGATAAATCGAAAATGGGATCTAAGGTGCCCGAGTCCTCAGGCTATTGTGGCAAACAACCAGACTGTGCTTCTTCCTTCTGGCCTGTTAGCCTGAAGAGATCCTAGCTCTTAACTCAGTAACAAGAGTTTATGCCTCCTCTTCCAGATATTGTGACTTGAATCCCTTTACCATTGCTATTAAGTCCTTGTTCACTCTAGTTTCTTTACTTTTACAGAGGACTGCAACACTAATGTAAGCCAACGTTTGGACTTGCAGCTGTAGTTCACATGCATAGCACGTGGAGCCTTAGGGCACCGTGCCTTGCAGGTTTTGGGGCTACGTGGCTCAACGCCAATAACTGTCTGAGGGGTCGAAGAGAACAGAACATTTTATCAAGCAGATAATAACTTAGATAAAAGGTAAATGACCTGGCCCAGGGGAACTTGCCTTACTGAACTACAATACTGAGTAGTAAAGTCC